TAGTCACAGGGGGCTGAGAAGGATAGTATGGAACGTTAGTGGTAGGTGGGAATGGAACACCAGCTGGGTAAGGATAGTTCGGGAAGCTGCTTTGACAAAGAAACACAGGCTGAAGTTATTTAATTACCAGTAAAACTTGATCCATGTCACCATGTTAAATATTTATTCATATCATGTTTAAACTACAGGCCGAATTACACTCTTTTCCTGTCCCCATTAACATCTCTCACAACTTGTAGTTCTGATACAATGTATGCTGATATCATTTTAACTGAAGCCCTACCTACTTATTTGCTGGTCAATCACATAGATCATTCCAAATTCTCAACAGGCTGCCTTTCAATATCTAAAATGCCCTCCTAAAACCCAGAAGTACCCAAACCAAATTTTACAGGAGACTTTGATTGAAGTGCTTCAAGTAAAAGAGAACATGCTGCATGCAGAACACACCACGAGCACTTCCAATAGGTACACTTAGGAGGAAAATGTCTGCCACACGACCTCTCTTTTTTTTCACTCCTTAAAGCATGCTCCCAGTGCTTACAGTTCCTTTGCTTTTCAATACCACAGTGTTATGTACTACAGCAACTCCTCATATTATCCTAACAGAATCAGGACATTAGGATGTCCATAATTAAAAAAAAAAGGTATAAACTAGAAAACAGGCAGCATTTATTTGTCAAGAAAGAATGCTATTTGCTAAGAAAGAACGCTAATAGTGAGTGGCAGAGCTGATGCACAAGCTGCTCCTCTTCCAGTTTCCAAAGAACACTGCAGAAAGCAACAGTTTATTTCAAACTATAATTGAAGTCACTACTATATTTCTGAGGAGTTAGTTCTGTTGGACTCATTTTCAGTTTTTAATCTCTGTGAAACAAGACCTAGCACTGCAAGAACAAAACACATCAAGGTTCATCTTAATCCAGTAGCTGCTTTGTTCAATTATTTGAGTTGCTCATGACCCAACCAATGCTATCAATGCTGTTAAGAAAAAAAAAAAAACAACAACTTTTAGGAATGTGTATCTTTCTACAGCATATGAACACAACTACCTTATAAAACTAATTATGTAAGTGAACCAAGAGAACATGCAGGAATTAGGTAATCATTCTTCAAAACATAATTGTCACCCAGCTGTATGATAACTGAAGTAACCAACACTAAGAAAATGAAATCTTCCCAAACTTTCTCTTGGTCCTTAACAAAGAGTTCAGTCCTCTCTTCTACACAAACAGCTATCATGATAATTACATGATAAATACCAAGATCCAAATCCATGGTAATAAATAAATAAATAAATGGAACAGAAATAAGACTAGATTCTGTTCAGTGAAGCCCCCCGTTATGTCAGTGATGATGAAAAGTGCTCAAAGTGGCTCTTACCTTGGGTTTGTAGTGCTTCCTGGTGGATAGGGAGATATTCCTGGCATGCCAGGCACGTAGGAAGCTAAATAAAAGAATGATTTTATGTATTTCTGCTTTTCAGAATTTTACCACATACAAAGATCACACCAGTGAGAAGCATTACGCTGTGATACTATGCTTCTCAAAATACTGAACAATATTTATTAAGATATGAATTTGAAAGAGCAGTAACTGTACTGAGTAAAGTATGCCTGCTTAAGGAAAAGTATCTGCAGGAAGGGAACTCAAACAGGAGGCACGTAAAAGATGACAGACGTGACTCTGTTTTTAGATAATAGCTGAGAAAAATAACCTTCCCAATGAGCCACTGTTCTCTACTCTGCTCATTAAATAACAAGCACATCATTTAAGTAGCTTCAGAATAGACAAGGGTAACAGTCAGTTAGCTGTTTAACAACCCAGTGTTATTCAGTGATTTCTTCCATTTAGAAATCTAAATAGTTCTAAAAAACTTTTACCAACAAACATGCCTTAGCAATTTTATGTTTCTTCTTAGAAAGCTGACAATTCTATTATAAAAATTGCATTTTCAATGTATTTATTGCTGATTAGTAGTAATTATAGGAGCATTACATCAAATACAGGTGTTTTTTTTTTTTCCCCCTTTTTCTTATTTTTGTTGAAGTCTCCCTAGCTATTTTCACCTTCTAAAACTGCAAATGATTCAGGGTTTTTATTTCTCAAAGTGCACCTAGAACTTCAGACAAACTGCCTATAAAATAGATTTTTAAAAAAGACTACACTAGTAAAACTAAGTAGCTATTAATCATGTAAAATCCAGAAACACTGTTTGTAAAGTTACTTCCAATACACCAGCCTTCAATGACTACAAAAGAACAAAGCAGTGATGTTTCAGCTGATGATCCTCATCTTCCTTAAAGCACCATACAGGTCACAGTCCCCACCAAAACTATACTTGTAGTGACACCTGCTGTTCTTGGAAAACTCAACAGCTTGTTCATTGAATCACCTGGTGCTCTTACAACACCAGACAAGCCATAAAGCCCCACACACTTACCTTTAGCCAATTATCTCTACCGGTCCCATTTAGTTACTCCTCTTTGGTCCCATTTGGTTATTTGTTTGTGGCTCTCCCTCGCCAATACAAGCATTAATTTTGCCCCCACCTCCACACAAATTCTTCCAGTAGTTCAAGTACAGCACAAGTGAACTACTTGTGAATATCCATCAACGTAGAAAGCCATTTTAGGATGATATTTATCAACCACTGAGGCAGAAAGCCTTTGGTACACACTCTGGAGAGTGAGGATTTGTACAAATCAGCAGCCCAGAGCACTTACTGGTTGGTGGGCCAGTTGCCTGGTACGGTGGGTAGCTGGCTGAAACAGTGGGCCGAGAAAAGACTGGAGGCTCCTCAGCAAACACCACAATCATAACTTGAATCAGTTCCAGCAGGTCTGACTGGGGCTGCAAGGATACACACATCACAAGTTGGTGCCATCTGCTAACAGCTGGTTTTACTGACTGTAACAACAAAATGGGACCATTCCACACGCACACATATACGTGTATTTATCACTATTACGCAAACGCTGAACTACCACTCACGCTTATTACATTTATTCCTCCCAATCACTTTTGATAGAACTAAGCCAATACTACAGTTACGGCCCCGTCAGTACATTTCATCCTTTTTGAAAGTTCACATTTTAGTTAAAATGTCTGAGGCCTGCACTGCTGGATTTAGTTATTAATAAATACACTCAAAGCCCCAGCAAAGTCTACCTGAAGCAGTCATACAGCACTTCATCTTAATCTGAGATCAATTTCAGCCCAGAGATGCGTCAAAGAATTTGTAGTTCACCTTCAGTAAACATTCTGGTCTCACAGTAAATATTCTTGTCTTCAGGTCAGCTCCCTACTAGGCAGGGAAGCCTATGCTGCACTGTTCAATCAGACGGGCTGTCACTAAAGGCACAATTAACCAGACAACAAAACCCACAGCATTCTGAATGTTAAGATATTAAAAATAACAAGCAGTTGTTTCAAAGGAAAAAAAAATCTGGATTAATATTTCAGAAAAAGAGTTATTTTTCTTGTTACAGATGGTACAACTATCTGAAAAAAAGAAATTAAAAGAGTAAATTAACAAGCTGAATTTCCCTCTACTTACGTATTTCCACTCATGCAGGTAAGGAAGGTATATCTTTCCATTAGCATCAACATGCTTCCCAGTTTTTATTGTCATTGAGCTAGTGGGTTTAACAAAACAGATTGGGGGATTGAAAGGGTAGGTGTCCAGCAGCCACAAGCAAATGGGGATATTGTATATGTTACCTAGAAAGATGATTTGAAAGATTTTAGGAGTGCTGTCCTTTTATATTCAGATGTTTAAAGTACCAAAAAGAGTACTGAAATATAAACAGAAATTAGAGAGCTACACAAGCACAGAGCAGCAGTGATATGCACTACAGTTTGGTTCCATAACAAAACCAGAAACAAATATTTAAAATATGACACCATGACAAGTAAAAGCTTTCACAAAAATGGTGATCACTGAAGTAGTGTAACTGAAGCATTACAAATATACACAGCTTCTCACGTGATTCCGCAGAATAAATATAACAAGCAATAAATATAACAAGCATAACAGTGACTATATTAATAATAAAGGCATACCTCTGTAAGGCACAGGAATGGTTCCACTGAGGCTCATCAACTCTCTAGATGAACCGTCGTTAAAAACTGAAAGGGAGCAGAGGGCATTTTGAACACAAACCTACTTGCTGTGTCAATCCCTGTTCAGGTGATAGCCTGTCTACTTGTTAATGTACATTTTCAGAAGTCACGTGTGAACACACGTACACATACACAGATACACACTGTATCAACACAGCTTGAGAAGTTCTGCTCTTGCACATCCCCCTGGCAAATGGTTGCCTATAGTCAGATAACTCCTTATGAATAACATATTCCTGAGAGATGGTTTACTAATTATCGACAAACTACCTTTACTGCAAATAAAACTGCTTCCTTCTTTACAGCTGAAGCAACACATGAATTTTCTCATTTCACCCTACCAACCAGCTGCTGTTGGCTCTGTGCTCAAATCTTTCAAGGCAGCTTTGGAAGACACAGGTAACAGAAATGAGCTTCTTGCTACAGCTCAATGCTATTCTTAATTCTTAATCTTCATTCAAACTTGCATACTTTAAAGCACTGTCACAACTGTTCATTTTTAGTGAAGTATTTTCATTAATTTACAATACTTTTAAAACAGACAGAACTGTACATGTATCTTTGCAGCACAGCAAATCTGAACTGGTAAGGTATCAGCAATCTCCAGGGATCTCAGCAATAGGACATATCTGAGTGACCAAATAAAAGCTGAAGAGGTGGAAAAACATACCACCTCCTGGCACCTTTCTGTATTACTGAGTCTATTTCAGAAAATTAATGTCTGTTCCAGGAGAGTACTGACATCAAAGTTCAAAAAGAATAACTTTAAATTCTAAATTCTAGCTTTAACTCCCTATTCTCCACAAAAACTATCAGATACATCTTATACAATGAAAATCTGATAAGAAGAACTGGCTCAAAGCCTTACCATATGAATCCATAACAGGCTTGAGGTCCTTGTACTGAGAAATGACACTGTTTGTCTCTTGTATAGTTAGGTCTCTGTACTTGTACTGGAAAACAAAAGAGAAAAGAAGCCATTAGAGCCTAAAGATGCAGTGTAAATTGCTTTTTGTTTCACAGAATAGCCTCTGTTTATGGAAGTTACCCATGGGCATTCTTCAGCACTCTTACTTTGAGTGAGATTTTATTTTATTTTTTTTTTTTTTACATAATCAAACCAAACACTCCATTAACACCTTGAACAAGGTATTAGGATGTTTTCATTCTTAAATAAGAGTCCACAGATCAAGTTCTGGGGAAAGCTATCACATTTCATTCATATTCTGCCATAATCAACATTGCATTTTAAGCAAAGGCAAGAGTTGGGACACAGCATTTATCAGAAGTTAGTTACCAGCATCATGCAAGGCACACATTAGAAGAGGCCATGCTACAAAAACTGGTTTAATCCCCTTGCTTTTATCTCAGCACAGACCTGAAGTCTCAGAACTATGACCCACAGACAAAAGGAGATGCTCCTGGCTGGCAGAGAGCTGTTTCACCACATGGTGTGGATCTTCACCCTTGTGGCCTTTCTTTTCGCTAATAACCACTAAAACCTAACAGTGAAGCCCCTTGCCCACACTCAATGCATTTCCAAAGAAGGCAACCATCAGGTGGCTCAAGGAAGGGATGCTGTCTAGTCCACCAGCTGCCCTGCACAAGGTGATGCATGATACCTAACACTGCATGCCCTGCAAACAAAACAAATGAATTCCAACACTCTCCAAGAGCAGAGGAATGTAGATCATTACAAGACAATCTTTTTCTGGGTTCATTTAGCCAATAACTGAGGATGTATAAGAAATGTTAAAACCTCTTTGGAAAGAGCAACACCCTGGTGACTTCTATAAAGATAACTACAATTGATTCATTTAAACACAGTTTTTTTTCCTCCTGAAGCCTCAGACAGCAAACACACCTTCCCCATTTTACCTATCAGGAAACAGAGCAGAGAGACGAAGCTGTCCGGGATCAGCCAGCAGGCAGATGCTGATATTTGTGTTCACTCAGAGTAAGGCCTTTTGCTGTACACACACAGAGGGATTCCTACAGGAAGTACCACCAAGCTTCCCTCAATAGAACAGAGCACGTAGCTACTCGTGGAAAATGAAGGCAAGTGGTGAAATAGTAACTTCGTTTTTCCATCAGGTACAAAAAGCTCCCCCCACTTTTCACTGAGCTGACAGGAAGCCAGATGCCACTTGTGGTTTAAGAAGGGCACGAGGTGGAGTGGGAAAAGAAGGCACCGCACTGCCTTACCTCCTTATGGCATGTCGCACCTCAGCCACTCCTTTAGGGAAGCCGGGTGAGTACAAAGACGCACACCTGCTTACACCACGTTAGCGATCAGCATTCAGTCTCCAGCCGATGACAGAAGGACCAAGTGGAGGAAAGGACCTCCAACCGCGAGCAGCCCTTAGCCCGCCACAGCTCGCTTTTGGGAGGTACCAACAATACGACTGAACGGTAAGAAAGCAAACGCCCCCAAGCCAAAGCCACGGCTCCTCGCAGCTACCCGGCCACAGGGATTTTGGTTTCAATCTGCTGGACGAGGCCCGGTTTCCAGCTGACTAACAGCGTACCGCTATCGCACGGCTCGCACCGCCTCGATGACCAGCAGCCATTTACCTCACCGCGAGTTTTGTTTCCTCAAACGTCACCCATTAGAAAACAACACCCCCCTCCGCCGCCCCGCCGCAGCCCGTGCCCGCACTCCGCCTCCCGGCCGCGTCCGGCGGAGAGGGAAGGGCCTCTCGAGGCGCCAGGCCGCCGCCTACCTTGGCGAGCATTTTCTTCAGCTGGCTCTCCGAGAACGCCATGGCGGCGGCTGCCGCCCGCCCCCCCAACGCAGGCAGCGCCGCGCGCCCGCTTCCGCCTGGCACTGATGGCACTTCCGGGCGGGAACAGCGCCGCCCGGCAGCACGGCGCGGTACGACTACGGCCCTGCCCGCATGGGGCAGCGCCTCCCCTGGAGGCGGGACGAAGTGCCGGCTGCTGCTGCTGCTGCCAGCTCGTCAGTGATTAAAAAAGGGCGTGCGGCATTTGGGGACGAAAACCATTACCTAGAATCCCCAGCACGAACACCTGGACTGTTCACGCTGGGATAACAAACGGAGGAAAATAAACACACAAACCAACACAAGTCCGGCCCCAGCACTGGGCACTTGTTTAATGTAGTGTTTAAGTCACACAGCTGCTGTTAGCACCCATTCTGCCCCACCAGAAAGGAAACTTTAGCATTCACTGAAAACCCACCTGAATCACCCAATTACTATATATGTATATAGTAATATATATATTATATATATATATAATTACACTATTTTTACCGATATAAAATCCTGGTTTATGCAGCGCTGGCTCTTTGTAGATATAAGTGGAAGGCAGAAAGGAATAATCTTTGGCTCTGACAAGTATTCTACTTGTTCTCTGGAGGTTCCATTGCTATTTCAGAAGCCACAGTTCAGCACATGCCCAGGGAATGACAGGCTGATGCTGCACATAGCAGCACAGAGACCCATGCTGCTCTGGTTCTGCAGCCTGATGCTCAGCTATACCTGGGCTGAATGCAGTCTGCTCTCTCACCAGTGCAACCATCCCAGAGTTTAGAACACAGAAAGCTCTTCACCTTAAAAAAATACGTGCTTTTTCATCTAAGAATTTGCATCTTTTTCCATCGTGTCTTTGGCCTTCCTGTGGGATACAGATCCTGTTGCCTCCTCAAGGAGCTACCTTCTCCTCCTCAGTCGGGCAGCAAGTAGCTTTGGATCAGAGCTTGAACTCCAGCCACCTCCACGCTGCCCAATGGGCAGACCTCATTCCCTACCTGGTGCCCATTCTCACTTCTCCTTTCAGGAAGGGCACCCATTCTGATGCTGCATGGGACATACCAACACCTGCAGATACTTTGGTGCTCTGAACACCCTTAGAAAATAAGAGCTAACAAGTCACCCAATGACAGAGACTCAGATATCAGTAAATATACAACAGAAATTCATATGCAATACTTCATGCTTTCACATTTTCTTCCCCCATAGTAATATGCAAGAATAGAGTCCATAGACATTAGTCTGCCTGCAATAGGTTGCTGCCCTGCAACCATATTCTGGGCAAGCCCATACCAGCCCTCAGAAACCAGGAAGAGCTCTTGTTGGCTCTGCACACCAGAGCTTCCAAGGTGCTGGATAAGTTCTTGTCCTAGGCTGTGTCCTAATGAGGTGCACAGAGCTATGAAAAACCCAAGAATCAAGCCATCATTAGCAGCAAAAACAAAACAGAATACAAAGAAAAAGAACCAGGCAAATGTCACCTGATCTTAGATAAAGTATTCTTGCACTTCACTCTGCCCATTTTGGCTACCGAAAGTGCACTTTTCAAGTGGGACATTCCTACCGGGCAGTGCAGTATTAAATTATTTCAACCAACAGTAAGTAAGGAAAACACTTTTGAAAGCAAGTTAAAAAAAATTGTTTTGCATAGAAAAATGTATGCACCAAGCAACCCTTCCTGCCTAGCAAAGCTTCAACTTGTGTGAGCAGATGCTGTAGCTTCCTTTGTGCTTACAGTTTCAGCTGCTGCTGAAGGTCATGAATTGATCCTGCACTGCTTTGCAGTTTCTCTTGTACCAGCAGATCTTCTTCTAGTGTGATCGTTTCAATTACTCCACTGGTTCCAAGAACACATGGAAGGCTTAAGAATACTTCACTGTTTATACTGCAAAATCCCTAAAACACACAAAGAACACTGTCACACAAACACATATTTCTGCTCTGTTCTTACCTGAAAAGCATGAAGTAACTTTTTTAATTTTAACTAGGCAAGGACACTTCTTCACATGGCATGACTTTGTAAATCTCCAATTATTTTAGATTCTGTGCAACAGATTATAGCAACAGTGAAGTATTACTGCACAGGTAAAAGAAACTTTGGTGCCACAGGAATTATTTCCCAATGCAAAAAATATCAGACCTCTGCAATGCAGGCAAAGCTTATTCTACAACATACAGTTTAAGCAGTTTTCTGGGTAGAACAAGCAGTGTTACTTTTTGTATGATCAGTTCTCCTGAGACTGAGCAAAATGATTGTTACAATACAGCCAAATAAAACTGTCCAAGGAAAAATTTTCAAATACTGATCATGTATTCATTCTATAGAGACTTTCCCAAAGTTTCATCACTATAATTCACTAACAATATTGTCACACTATAATGGGACGATAATAGCAGGGTGGCAAAGTCTTTGGCTACAGCAAATGAAAATGGGCCCAAATGCCCATTTTCCATGGATACAGAAAGGAAGGAAAAGAGCTGCTTACAGAATCACAGAATCACAGAATCACCCGGGTTGGAAGGGACCTCAAGGATCATGTAGTTCCAACCCCCCTGCCTAGCAGGGCCACCAAACACACACATTCAGATCAGGTTGCCCAGGACCCCGTCCAACCTGGCCTTGAACACGTCCAAGGACGGGGCATCCACAACCTCCCTGGGCAGCCCGTTCCAGGGCCTAACCACTCTCCTTTGGAACGCCTCAGGTAGGAATCTCCAGCAAGAGATGCCCTCCCCTGCAGTGCCAACCCTTAAAAGAGGTCTGGGAAGGGGCAGATCCTGGCTCCACCCCTTCTGGTCACTTGGATACACTGCACACACGTGAGCTCCCCTGGGTTGGCCCTGCCTTCCCACCAGGTGCTCAATCACTGCTTCAAAATGTGACTTAGCATTTCCACTACAAGTACAGGTTTTGTTTCTTTATAGGAGCTGTATGTGAAATTTTACATTCTTAGTTACTCTACAGTTTAAGAAACGTGGCATTCCTCTACTTTTGTGTTTCATTTGTAGACAATTACAGACTTGACTTGAAAAAATGATGAAATTAGCTGTATATCTGTTATAATTGATAGAGTAAGAAGAGTTTTGTGCTCCATTTCTCTGCACTGAGAACTGTGAGGGGCATAGAAGCAGCCAATAATGGTTTCTATAACTTTTTTCCCTCCTCTGAAATGCCTTAAAACTTTAGTGAAGCCTCTTTGGATGAACTTAAAACTGTGGGCTAAACCTTGTATGACATTACATGTACCATAATCATCTAAAGAATGCAAAAGCAGATAAACCTTTCAAAGCCAGTCAAATAAAGTACTGGCAGGAAATGCATTTGATACTTTCCTAAGTGATACTGAACTTTTTTGGCCCCTGGAAAAATATACACCGAACACTTGGAAACTGTGACACATTTCTCTTCATTTGACAAACTGAGCTGCTCCTGGGGAGCTGGTCAGCAAACATGAACACATTTTCCCCCAAATGCTTCTATTTGTTTTGAAAACAATCTACTTCCAATGTTGGTTTCAGGTTAATGCAACAACTGATCCGTACTTCATCTAGACTGGAATTAAAAACTCCTGTTAGAAGACAGCAGTAACCATAATGCTACTTCCAAACAGCTGCTTTATGCAGCAGGTCTGTGCTGATACAAATTAACTGTCACATCCAGTGTAAATCACATAACTGTAGTGGCAACCAGAAGATATTAATAACACATTACCTTTGCAAGAGTGGATACAGAATGAACCTTCCTTTTATCTTTCAGGATACTGTCAGTTAAATCAGCAACTGAGAGCCCAACAGACCAGGACCTCTGACCTTTTCCCTTGAGAACTTCCACAGCTCTAAATAAACCAGGAAAAGGGGAAACATAGAATGTTTAGATTTTAATTAATCTTGTTTTGATTCATATGTTGAAACCTTATAGACAGGTAAGTCTACATAAGAAGATGATTCTTCATTCTGAAAAATTACATAAGAAAATAATGAACTGCTAAAAGAATGTCTTCATATATATTTTACCCAGAGTAGTAACAATTCTTTTTTCTGGCTAATTAAATCATGTAAATTGATCCAAATTTCTCCCTAGCTTTGAAGTTTACTGCTTTCACACAGTCTCTGAGAAGTGTGCTAGAAAGCTTGCCTCTTTTTTTCTTTTTAATGCATGTAATCTGTAATTGAACTGGCAACTCTGAAACTCTGGTGTATCTTCTGCCAAGCTCATCATCTCATCCTTAGGGATCACTGCGGGCAAAACATCGTTTAAAGCAGAAGAACATCAAGTGTATACACTTGCATGGAAATCAATGACACACACACCTATGGGCTCCAGGAAACTCAATGTGTGAACATTTCCCCCTGTTTGTAAGGAACTGAGGAAAAGAAAACAAAAAACCCCCAAAAACTGCAAACCAAGTGTTAAAGCATGTAGAAAAACGTGAAAGTTATTATAGAGTTACCTGTTAGCCACCTTTTCTCTGGAGTCATGAGCAGCAATTGTTTCTGTTTCATTTGTAACTGACTTAGAGCTGGTCCATGATGGTACTGGACAGAAACAAACACAGCATTAAGTGTACACCTAAGCAGCAACTAAAATAAGGATGAAAAAGGTTGGGGAGAGATAAAAAAAAGAATATTAATTAATTAACTAAAAAGGAAGCTTCCAAACCTCCCTTGCCTCATAACAAGCCAAACGTAGGGTCTCTAGATTGCAGAAATAAAATGATAGCAGCACTCTTCCCAAGACACTTGCTTAAAAATGAATTGCTATGCAAAAAATGTCCCATCGGCAGTAGCCTAACATATCTTACACCACACTTCCTTCCTCTTTCAATACCTCTAATCTGCATCACTGCACCAAATACAAAACATTTGAGGTTATATACGTATATTTTTTTAAACAGTGACAAATGCAAAACACTTTTGCAACAACTCCAGGCCTACAGGCTTGGGCACAGACCAGAATCTTATTCTTTAGAACCACTATTAGTAAAAATCACTACCCTGCTCATTACTACCTTTAGTACGTTTTTCAATCACTCTGTCATTAATACCATTAGTTAAGTACTGTCAGGACATTAAATACCCATAATGAGTATCACTTTACCTTTGTCTTCCCCTTGTTCACCAACAATCCAAGCATCTTTTCCCAGCGTCTCTGCTTGCAAAAGCTTTGTGAGTATGTACTGAAATCTCTCAGTATCCAGATTGCCACCTACTCCAATAACTCTGCTTTTGGGAAATGCACTCAGCTTCCATGATACGTATGTCATAATTTCAACTATATACGAAAGAGAAAAGATGTTGACAATAAAGGATCGATCAAAATTCAGCCCATTTGCAAACTGTTAGTCAGAGTTACGTAACTCCAGAGCAACTCATTTACTTTAGAAAAGGAAAAAGCATTTTTTGAGAATATTTCAGTTTATTTAAACCAAAACAGCAAGTCAGATGGGGAGATGACGAAGGAAACTCACAGCCCACATGAAGTTTTCAGAGAAGTCAAGTGAAACCTCAGGATGAGTCACTATGCTTCCCTTCACCACAAATCTCACATACTTCTAAATTTAATGCACTCAGTGGTTCCCTTCCCCGATCCCCATTTGGCAAGAACTCTTTTCCCCATTTCCACAGGTCTAAAATATAAGAAGGCTAAGAAGCACTTGAAAAACAGAAAAGGGCTAAGGATGCCTTCAGCCTGTTTAAAGGACAGATGGGTTCACGTGTACTTCTCTTGTAAGAGCATTTGCTTTTCTCTTTTCATAGTATTACTGAGCACACAGATTTAGACTTTTCCTTAAAATATAGCTGCAATATAGTCCACGAGTTTCATCACAGAACACACAACACATACGCACGTGCATCTACCCTTACTGCACAGGAGAAATGTAAAAAAACACTCACAGCTGACAAGACAACAGTCAATGGTTGCTAATCTTGTAGATACAGTGACATTTAAGCTACATACAGAAATATGCAGAAATACATACCTTTCAAACAAATCAAAGTACACTATTTTCTTTTATCTTGGTAACAGTTAAAAAAACACTGTGTCCTGCTCAGTGCTGTAAAGGAAAACATCTTTCAGAGTAGCAAGAATTTCTGACTAAGTGCATATTCGACAGCAATGTGTTTTTTAAACAGCCCAAAGAGAAGCCATCACAGGGACAGAACATCAGGTGAAGGGCCAACACACCTGGCTGAGAAGCAACAAGCAGCACAGAGTTCTGACTGTAGTGTGATATTGCTGGGATAATTCCTCTGAACAAATCCACGTTGCTCTGTATGACATCCAGGTACGTCTGAGCATTACCCAGAGAGTTCACTGTAAGCACCACAACTTTTGAATCAGTTGAAGTTGAAAAATCTGAAAATACAAAGAAAATGTGTTTTAAGAATGTGTGTAACTCTATCAAGTTTTAGGTGCAAAACCAAAACACTACTCTAAATGCTGAACTGCAACATCCAATTTAAGTTGAGGATTCTTTCCTTCCTATCTTGCCTCCAGCTCCCTGTCTGCAACGTGGAGCACTTCTGCAGCACCTGTAAACAGCTCTCCCACAGAGCTAGTTTTCCCACCTTCTAGTTGACAGACAGAAGAGAATGAAGCTTGGCCAAGATGACAGAGCACAGATCAGAAAACAGTTCTGACACAAGTTTCCCATCTTAATTTTCTCAGCAAGGGAGAAAAAAATACATTTGCGGAAAACATCCTTCATTTTTACTCCAACTTAAAAAAGAAAGGCAGAGACTTCATTTCAACAACATAGGAGCTTGCTATATCACAGCTAAATATAAATATTTAATACGTAATGACAAAAACAAACAGAAATTTGTGGCATGGTTACACAAGGAGAGCTTAGGAAAAGAATGCATAAGCATCACAATTTGCAAGATAAGATCAAAGGATGTAGAACAGGCAATGCCAGGTGGAAACAGAACAATCAAGTAGAATACCTGGTGGAATGGGAAACTGAGATAAACTACGTTAGAGGCACATGAAAGCCTCACTTCTTGTCTCGCAGAAGGTCTGAAGCATAAAAAAGCACCATGGACAAACAAGAAGTGAGGATGAAAAAGGTCATTCTACTCGCTTCCATCTTCTATTGTAGAAGAGCTTTTTTTTACCATCTCAGCCTCTGCAACTAAGCTTATCAGGGACTGTACTCATCACCACTAAGTATGGGGACATGATTATTGATTCTGCTGAACTGTACACTAGCAGCTAGTTGACAACCAGGTCACAGAATCATCTGGTCTGGAACAGACCTTCAAGACCACCAGGTCCAGCCATCCATCTGACCCAGAGTCCCATCACTAAAACATGTCCCTTAGTGACACATCCGCATGTCTTTTGAACGCTTCCAGGGATGGGTTAAGAATTAATTTCTTGAATACATAATGATAATGATTAAGAATTAACCACTGGTCATAAACTGATGTTTAACAAACATCAATTGAGGAAGGTAGTACTTTGAAACTCACATTATTTATCAGTCTTTCCAACACTGCTGTCACAGCTAGGTCTAATTCCCTACATACATACCTCTCCTCACCTTGCCCTCTCTGCAGCAGTGACATTGATGCACTAGATCGTTTTTCTACATTTCTGCATGTGTCCAAATTCAGAAAAAGCCTCTTAACCCAGAAGCAGGCTCAGATACTTCTAACTCTATCAACAACAAAGCCTGAAACAGAAGTATTTCAAGCTTTACTGAGTCCTCCCTTACCAATTTTTCCACAGGAAGATACAAAAAAGCAAGAAGCTATGAAAAGATAACACCCTTTTAGAAACATGCCTTGTATACTAGAGCTTCTATAGCACCCAGGGTGCCCTGTTCTCACTGAGACAAACACAGGCACACACACTACAGCATCAGCTCCCACTCTAGCAATGACAGCCAGCACCTTTGCTGATCTCTACGTTTGGCAAAGCAAAGATCTCCAAATCCATGGTTCCTCCTTTTGCTGCACCTTCAGAAAGATCCAGAAGAACCACCTTGTCAGCAACACCCTATATGAGTAAAAACAATACAGATCAACAATAAAACCTAACTTGTTCCTGCCAGTGGTGGGGAACTATAAAAACACATTTCTCCAGTTCAAAACAGTGTTTGTTGCACTGTGTGTACAGTAACTTCCAACAAGCCACAGCTTAGGCAACGAACTCTTAATTACGGATTTTCAAAATAAGTGCATTCCTAGTTTATCTGTCTGTATTTACAAAAGCAGAATGAGAAAGCATAGCAGAAACTAACATTTCTGTGTGTCCATAAATTAACAGGACAGAAGAGGCAAATGATATAGGCAGTGGCAACAATGTTAAAAGTGCTGAGCTACTTCTGTATCAGACACTAAGAACTAGACTGGAAGCCCCTGTATTAATTAATCAGGTGTACAGTGACTTACATTAATTACATACCTTTGCTGCAACCGCCAGCACACATGCAATGCCGAGATCTCCAGCTCCAACCACAGTAACTTTGTTAAAGCACCCTCCGTTTCTCACTCCACCCATTTTACTCTTTGATTTTATGTCAGTCTCTCCTACAGTTAAAAGGGAAACACAAACTTAAGTGCTGATCCATACTACATCAACACAGCTACTGATGCTTCACAAAGGGTCGCGTCACAAAACACAATCCTCTTCAAAACAGTGGTCAAGTCTGATAACGCAACAATTCTCATACTGAGCATAATTCATGGAGACTTGTAACAGAAATATGAAGATTAATTGGACATATGTATTGCATGCACAAAGATTCAGTTACTAACATTAGATAGGCATTTATATCGGGAGGAAGTTCTTTACAGAGAGAGTGGTGAGGTGCTGGAACAGCTGCCCAGAGAGGCTGTGGATGCCCCGTCCCTGGAGGTGTTCAAGGCCAGGTTGGATGGGGCTCTGGGCAGCCTGGTCTGGTATTAAATGGGGAGGTTGGTGGCCCTGCATGTGGCAGGGGGTGGTGGGCATTCATGATCCTTGAGGTCCCTTCCAACCCTGGCCATTCTGTGATCCTTATGATAGCAAGTAATAAATAAAACATACGTTGCCTTAGAACTACAAATATATGAAGACATCTGCACCTTCAGTAATCCTTGCGATGTAGGAGAGAAGTTCTGATTGCCTGTCTGCATCAGAAGATGACAGTGAATACAAAGGCAGCTCCTCCTCAAATTTTGCAATCATTTCCTTGATTAATCCAATGATAGTTGATTTAGGCTGAAATATAGGAAGAAGACAAAATGGTTGAGGAGCTCTTTCATATCGTTTGGTGCTTGGAGCTGTGAAATCAGTAGAAGTTAAAGCAATAAAAGCAATTCCCACCCATGGGAATTTCTATAATAATCAGGAAAAATACCTCTCATCATTTTTAGAAAACCAGCTTTCAGTAAATCACCACCGTGGGCCTGACAGTTGCATTTAAGTACGTTATGTAGATGGAGGACATAAAATCATTTAGAAACAGCAGTGGGTTTTCAATCTCCATCCATTCATAATGTTATAGTCAGAAGAGACATCCCCAAAAGATAGGAATTCCTGTGGAACTTAACTGGAGATACTCCATTTGTCAGGTATTATACTATTCATTATTCACTGCAATATGGGGGAAAAGAGCCAAAAGGCCCAAAAGTAACAGACAATCCCCCTATTTTTTTCCAGCTGAAAAGAGTTTTCCTATAATCTTCCTTGTAAACCCTTTGGATGGGCTGAAAGCTGTAATTTTATGAGGTGTAATATCACTTCTCTTAGCATAAGCATTCCATATTTAGCAAGCAATGCAAAATACAAAAAGCTCTAACCAGACCCACTGCTCTGCACTGCTCTCCATGTAGCATTGTTTATTATTCCCAGACATCTCCCTCCTCTTACATGGCTCCAGTTCTGCAGATAGGGCAAATAAATCCTGCCGTGAGCATCCACATGCTTCCCCACTGCAATGCCCATGTTGGCAGTCGGCTTCAGGAAGCAAATGGGAGGAGCAAAGGGATGAGAGTCCAAAATCCACAGACGAATGGGTATATTATAGGAGTTACCTGTTCAACATAAACCAAAAGCCATTACAAGCTTCCGCACTGAGAAGAAACACTAAGAAACAGGTCTGTGTGCATTTCATAATAACAAAGAGAAAAGAAGCCAGACAAATAAATGTCCTGATTTGCACTTAAAGCATTTATGTCACTTAGGCTGGTTGACAGAAGCAGACTTGTCTGGATCATCTTGGAGCATCACTGATGAGTTGTAATTAACACAGGAATCTTTCCTCTTGTTGTTTTTCCACTGGCATTTTATCAGCCAACATGACCAGTTCTATAGGCAAATAAACTTCTTGCTGCAATCTTTTATTTATTTTTATTTTTTAAGAACTCACGATAACCGATGCAAAGAGGGATCTATTAAGAGCTTTACCTCAGCTTCAAAGGCTTTAAGTTCAGAAATAAATACTTACTAGTTCTTTTTAAGCACTCTCCATACACGTGTAGGGCTTTCAAAATTCAAGCTATCTCCATTGGAACCAAAATGTTTGACTACACTGTCTCACGCTATGTGACTTTTTTAAAATAAAGTGTTTACTTGACTTGAATCATAGAATGGCTTGAGTTGGAAGAAAGCTTAGAAGTTGCCTGGTCCAACTCCTCTGCAATGACCAGAGACACCTACACTACATCAGGTGTTCAGAGCCCCATCCTGCCTGACCTTGACCTGTCTCATAGCACCTTATTTCAGTATCTCTATGTACATAAAGAATAGAAATGGCTTTTGCCAATTCAGGCAAAATCCTAAGCCACTTTTAATAAAGAAGCAGTTCAAAGAGCAGCACAGGTTATACCAAATCCCCAAAGGCACAATTTGCAGACCTGTATTCACATTCTCGAGTATTTGATCCTAGCGTGTGTAAATTAGCCCTGAGCACACCCAAAATGAGAAAGGATGCCTCATCTCATACATGTAAGCTTAGCACAGCCTCATCTAATAATTCAGAGGCGTAGCTGGCATGTTGGAATCTGCCGTTCCACTTCATTTACAGCACATTTAGGAGCAAGCTTAATTCCCACTAGTTGCTGGAAATGAGGTGCAGCACTCTCCCTTCTCCCCTTTTCTCCAGCCTGACTCCCAGAGGAGAAAGGCCACTGCTGCCACTTCAGCCATGCCTCTTTCTCAGGCTCTCCACAGTGTGTCGCTGGGATGCACAGCAGGTAAGGAAACTGTACACAGCAACTCCTACCATATTTCACCGGGACAGTGCCACTGAAATTCAGGAGGTCTTTCTGGGATCCATCCTTGAAGGCTGAAATTAAAAAAAACAAACAATCCTAATGCAGAATGACAACAATACGCTCCTAAGCACAGAATCACAGAATGGCCTGGGTTGAAAAGGACCACAATGCTCATCCAGGTCCAACCCCCTGCTATGTGCAGGGTCGCCAACCAGCAGACCAGGCTGCCCAGAGCCACATCCAGCCTGGCCTTGAATGCCTCCAGGGATGGAGCATCCACAGCCTCCTTGGGCAACCTGTTTCAGGGCTTCACCACCCTCTGTGTGAAAAACTTCCTCCTAAAATCTAACCGAAACCTCCCTTGCCTCAGTTTGACCATTCCCCCTTATCCAAATGTGTTCCTAGAAACCAGAAGCATCACTCTTGGCACAGACAGTACAGAATCCCACCCTGCCCCGCAGTCACTGGTGTTTCCCCACAGAGCCGGGCAGGCAAAAGCCCACTCTCCCCTCAGAGTAGCGCATCCCTCCTTACTGTAAGTGTTCATGGAGAAGGAGAAGTTCGGGTGCGCCCTGCTGACAGCCGTCACTTCCTCTACGGTCAGGTCTCTGAACTTGTACTGGGAGCGGGAGACAAAAACCCAGACAGAAACGTTTCGTCTCGGCGGCCCCGCCTTCCCCTTTCGCTTTTCCCAACCTAGGACCGCCGTAGCGCCGTGCCGAACCCCTCCCGGCCCCGCGCGCCCCGTCCCGCACCTTGCCCAGCTGCTTCCGCAGCGCCTCCGCCGAGAACGCCATGGCCGCGGCCTCCCAGGCGGCCCCGCGCCTCCAGCCCGCCCCGCCCCGTCCCGCCTCCTCCAGGCGCCGTGCGCCTTACGCGGCAGGGGAGCTCGTGGGTTTTGCTGGAAAGCCGAAGGTTCGCAATACGCCGTCGGTAGCGACTCACCTCAAGGCTGAGGGCTGGAGCACTGCTGAGGGGCTGGGCTACAGCTGCTGGCTGTTTTCTTTGAGGCTTGATAGAAAACGTGGCCAGTTAGCGGAGGAAATAAGCTGTGTTTTCTCACGTGCTAAGAGAGGGTAAAATAAAATGAGGAGCTCCTGCAACGCGGAGCACACAGCTTGCCAGTTTTACTCGGTGCTACACAAGAGGAAAATAGCATCTCCTCTGTCTTACAATGGCATCCTTTAGGTCTGACCCTCGGCTTAGCCTTGGGCATTCTGTATCTTTGTGCTAGCTCAGAGCACAGAGTTCTTGAGAACGTGAAACTACCCAATAAATTATTTCAGATAATTCCCCACGGCAGAAAAAAAACCATGCAGTAACACAAGCGGTCTGAATTAGGAGTAATGGAAGAGGAATTGCAAGTTACACATATTACGTGCTTTGTGCAAAATGCATGCTTCTGGAATGGACCCGAGTGAACTCTTGCAGATACTGGAGGTCCCCAAATAAATGAAGACCAAGTGGTGGGAGCAAAAGTTTCCTCACCAAACCCATCACGTTGGCTTTGGCTCTAGCAATATCACAGGTAAAACATTTAGCTCGCTGTCCACCTCTGTCATCGCCTAAGAGATGGTAGATACATGCCTTTCCTCAACTTAGGAACACAGAGAAACTGAGATGTTGCATTCAAGATATAAAAAAAACTTAATGAAATTGCATGTGGGAAAAGGATATACGTAAAAAAAAAGACCCTTACGAAGAACTGGACAGAGAAAATCTCCAAAGCAAATAAATCACCAGTTCAAGAAAGCCATCTAGCAGCTAACCTAACGGAGGTTAGGACCAAACCAGGGATACATTTCATTACCTCAGCAACCTCCTGTGTTTGATTTCATTCTACTCAGTACATTAAGCATGGTAGTTGAAGGTTTTTTGGATCCCCAGACGCGTGGAAAAAAAAAGATGAGTGATTCCATATGCACTTAAACTGGTAAGTAGAAGGCCATCTTTTGGATGACTGAACTGTAGTTCTGCCTTGTGGGATTAGGATGTTGTTTCAAATTCAAGCCACAACTAAAAGCTGCCCTCCAATAAGGAAAGATTTAAAAAAAAATATCTGAGTAAAATAGCTCTATTGCTTCCAGAGAGGGACAGCTTCATCGGCTGGATTATGCTAAATCAATGTAGAGTGACCTACCTATTTTGCCTACTTTGCTTTAAGATAACAACTTACTAGAACGTTGAAGGTGTATTAAAAATCTCAAGGGCGTTCCATTCAGGGTAAGATTTCATGCCTGCAAAACAAGGTGCTGGTTGGCCACTGATTAAACAACTAAGGGGCAATATAATGTTATTATTATATGGCTTTTTAAAAGCACAGAGTGCAAGCATCCATTTTTTTTTCAAGCAAAAGGAGGCAGATGGGCTTAATTTGAGGGAAGGTATTCATTTACCCATTTGGAATAGTTTGCAATGCTAGCTAACCAGAGCTAGCACTGGCACTGACCTCCAGCTGTCAAAGCAGTAAATGGTTTCATGGCAGACAGTGGTAGAAAAGGTGCAGGTTTTTCACATGGGAAGAAGAGAATCTGAGAGAGATGCTGCTCATGAAACTGCAAGATGAAACACCATATATTTCAGGTGGAAGAGATGAAAGGCAGCTTGTATACTTGTTTATACCATTTTTAAGTTCATGTTCCTCCAAATATATATTATATTAGAAGCCTAAACCGCAGGAGATGCCAATCAATTTCAGCTCCTTTTTGAATGCTTAAGGGACTCCATTAATTTTTTTCTTGCGTGCTGCATGGGAACAAGAGAACAGTTTTTCTTGGAGAACGTTCAGCCTAATGCTGTTTTATATAACAGCTCAGAAGAAAACAGCAGGAAAAAAAATGTCTTCTATAAAGTAGACCAATGAGATGTAGCAGTAAAATGTTTAATGCCTGTAATTTATTGTCTGCAAAACTTATATGCATTTGGTGTGCAAAAGTATACACTTTCTTGACAGCACCAGAAAACAGTTAAGCTATGTAAGTTTTTAAACCTGATTTGTCACATTGTGTAAAAAGACATTGTGCACAATGGATATCCCCAAAGGAAATCATTGGCTAAACCTAGAAGCACCCTTATTTACAACTACCACTTTAATATTGCATTACACCCACTCACCAAAATAAATAGAAATACATTCATCACAACTTAAACACAGTCTCTCCATATATTTATTTTCTGACATGTTTTGGTCTCCAGAAATACGCTGTATCTAGAAATAGGCATCAGCTACTAGATTATGTTACAAAATGCAAAAAAAATAGAAAATTAGTTTTCCTGGACAATATTTTGGGCTTTACACAAAAATAAATCCAGATTTCCATAGAGATCTCATAAACTTCTTGAAAGATTTTTATTTTAAAGCACAGCACAGAGTTGCACACTAAGGCTTCCTGTGATATGCAAAACCCTGGCCTCCAAAAAGACTGCTGTAAAGTGAAATACAGCTCAAGCGTAAGTACAAGACATTTTCAAAAAGTAGTCATCAATAGAAAGTGCCCTTCGTTTGATTTAGCCTTATCAGTACAGAAGTAGCTACTGTAATTGTGCAATCAAAGCCAGACCTGGAAGGGCTTTACGCAAAGGACGTCACCATCTCACACCACCAGGCTTAAGTACACAGAATCTGAGATAGCAGAAACTGACCGACCTGTTCATACTCTACATTCATCAGTTTTTGATGCAATTTAGTATAAAAGGCACATCGTCAAGCAGTGAATTAAAAAAAGAAAGAATCTAAAATCCAAACCAGAATTTCATTAAACGCAATTAAGTCATTAGCTTTAACATCAGATCCTCATAAACCAATAGAAGAATTCTTCCAGTTTTTTCTTAACCTCAAATTCAGACGCACTTTGGATGAGTACCAAAGTACTCTTGTAAAGATTAATAATGTTAATCTGGCAAACAGCAAACATGATTTTGAATACGAGGCCCTCCCAAGTCCATTTACAAATATGCAGCACATGCAAACCCAACAAAACCCAAACACTTGTACAAAATTTGAAAGCCACTGGTGTCCCGTGCCAATTATGAGAAAGTACTTGATTGTAAAATGACAAATGTGTCCTTGAGCAATTTTTCATACGAAACAAAAATCGAGCGATCATTGTGTGAAGTTAAACAAGTGTCTTAGGGAGGCTGGAAGAAGAGACCGCATTCCAGTCAGCACCTCAAAGACCAAAGTGCTTTAGATTAAGAAATTTAACCGACCGTGTGCAAAGCAATGAAATCATCAGGGTTTATTTAAGCTTCGGTTATCTGAAATGCAGATTTAATTCCAAACCGAATTCCAATTTCAAATTATGTGAGCATCTTTTGCTTCATAAGAGACTGTTTTCAGCCGGGCAGAAAATTGCTTGCAAGTGATAGTTGTCCAGGCTGACAGACCTAGGAGCCTTTCTCCAGCTAAACAAACCAAAAAATCCACACCAAGCAAACAAACAAACCCACAGTCAATCATGGTCCCAGAGATCATGGCCATGTTTGGGGAATTCGGGGAACTACAACAGCAAATGTGAGGTGGTCCCATTAAGCAGAGTGAATACAACGCACTTGCAGACAAGCACTGAGATTACACTATCTTGCATGGTCTCGAGTGTATACACTGAGAAACACCTTTTTGTTAGTTAATATACAAAGTTAAAAATACAGAGGAGCAGTGACAGTTACCATCCGTGCTCCTACGCAACTAATACTGAATTAGTTTATAGAATCCATCCCAACAGCTTACTCATGTCAGTGTTTCGCTAAGGCAGTGAAATGCTACACCATCAACAGAAAATGCCTCAAAAAAGCAAATGTTTTTTCCTTCATTAAGAGTTAGATGTGTAAATTCCAGCAGCTTCCAAGCTGTCTGAACTGTGTTCTGGAAGCAGCACTGTTTAAAAAAAATTGCCCTCTGAAGGAATCTTTAAAGGTTCCTTCACTATTTTTCTAAGTAATTTTTTCTTTTTCTTCATTTTTCTTTCCCCCAACATATATCCAAAGCCCTTTTTGTACTTTTCTAAGTACTTCAAGTATTAAAACATAACAGCTTCAATAGCTATAGCTGAGGGGTTATCAGCGGGGTCTTACTGCTCACTGAACAGTGATACTGGTGAGCTTTGAAGGATAACTTGGTGAATCAAAGCAGATGCAACACCAGCTTCGAGCTTCGGACTCTTCTTACAACCCCTATTGATTTTGATGAACCCCATGCTGATAAGTAAACAAACTCAGTTACTGAAGGAAACAGTCTTCAAATGCATAGTTAGAAATAATGTGCAAACATGGGCATTGGGTAACACAACTAACTCTCCTGACATGCATTTTAGATTTCTGATTTGATGAATTTAATCAAAAGTATTCACTGTGTCATACAAAGTGATGGACATCCAAGAGCTAGCTGCAACTACTTTGGAAACGTGTTTTCCAAATAGTACACCTGATTAGATAAGTGACTGCTCCACATTTTAAACCATTTAACACACCTGATGCTTAACAGAAGAAAAAAACATGTGCACAGCACACAACCTGTAAAAGAACAGAAGCTTTTAGACAAATGCAAAGACTGACAGGGCAGGAAAAGAATTCCTAAGCATATGCTTCAGCTCAAAAGCACAAATTACACACAAACACTAGAAATTCCTATTTTCAGGATGAGTATCCTACTGAATGTGATTGGCATTGAAATTCCAGACACAGCAAAAGCCAGCCTAACCTTTTGGTGATATCTCTAACTGTACATTTTGCAAGTGACACGCACTTCTCCATTAGGAAACAAGACGATTCCAGTTCAGTTATTGTATATGGGTCCTCAAATCAGAAAAATATATAGCACTTTATTGCTTTGAACATTTGTGGCAACGGCTGAATTCACACCCAAGCTGCTTCTGTATAGAAGATGATGTTTCAGAAACTTTGAGGCTTAACTTAGGAGACAGAGCAGGGTATAAAGCAATTTCTCTCTACATCTCAAAAAAAATATCAGGGAACAAGAACACTACTCCCCCAGTGCTATTCCTTCCTTTCAAGTGAATGCAAAATTGGTGTACTTGTATATGGGCCCGCACAGTTCCACGTCAGTGCATAGCTAGTCAATATTTCTGCTGGCATCTTGAACTGATTTAATCAATGGAAACATTTCTTAATTTTTCTTCTACTTAATAATATGCATTAGTGCATTAATTTCTCCATAAAAAAATCAACCCTTGGCAAGTATTAAAAATAAATATCTTATATAAGTCAAACTAAAGCCTTTATTTTTCAGTTCTTTTATCCCTTTACATATTCTTTTGCCCTCTAACAAGCAAATGGAAACTGAAGAACAGGAGATGTATGGAGGCAGAGGGTAGCAAAAAATGAAAGAAGTCGACGCTGTAAGTCAGTTAACGGGTCCTCAGCTTCTTAGACTGCCTCTTGCGTTTTAGTTCTTCCTCTTCCCGTCTCAATTCCTCAAGGTCTTCCTGAACACCGAGTCTCAAGCTGCCAAACAAGTTGAAATCCTTTACAAACTGCTACTCAAACATGAAATTTGACTGCTCCCCCAAGAAAAGAAATCCTAAAATAATTGCAGCTGATTTGAGCGAAGGTGTTTTAGATCAGTTCAACAGTCATAGGTTTTCTTCAATTACAGTAAGCATACAGCTTAAAGGAAACAAAGAGCATACCTAAGGAAATCAAGATGCTCTCACCATCAGAGCAGAATCAAATCTTTTGAGGGAGAAACGATTTAAAGTTTTCTTTAAAGAAAATTATCGTTATTTAAAAAAGGTTTTGCTAAGATCATTCTTTTTTTTGAAAAGAAGATGTTGGAACATGCATCAATTCCTGCCAACATAACTTAAATACAAGTCACAGCAGACAGACTCAGTTCAGCTTTTCTGAGAACCACCTACACCTTTCTTTAGGCAAGAGTGAGAATGGATCCATCAAACAGAAGCAAGAGGCTTTGTGGCAGCTTCCTGACGACAGGCATTATTCACGTAGCTACATGAACAATGCTGCCTCACCCTCAGAACCCACCTAGTTGCCCTGCCTCTGATGAACAGGCACAGAGAAGAGATGCTGCTGAGCACTGCATGTTCTAGCTGTGTCCTCGTGTAGCCTCTTCAGCTTCTGGGCAGCCTGCTGAAAGCCGTACTGAAAACAGCACCTACAATCACTGACCTCCTCTTCACTTAAGAAAGGCTGGATGGCCTTGCTAGTTTGATGCTAGGAATAGGTGTGACAAAGCTCCTATTTTGTCATCAGCTACTGCCTGCCTTGTGTGCAGGCCTGCTAAGTGCATTTGTACTTCCACAGTTCATTAAGAAGCAGCTTAAGGCAGTTTGCACCTCATTACTACAAGGTCGATAACATGACCACCTATCATTCAGCTGTTCTAGGGTAACTGCTGCAGTACAGGCTCTGCTTAATCCTATAACAAGCAGAGAGAAATCATCGTGAATTCAGGAGACTGCAGTCATCCAAGTTCAGACAGTAAAAAACCAAACACTTCAAAGATCTACATGACTGAAGTGTGGCCAGAAGCATCATTTTCCATTTCAGTTTAGAACTTAGTAATTTTAACAGGCTCTTTTGGTTAGAGAAAGCTCCTCATGTCAAGGGTCACGATGCTTTTAACCAAATTCTCAGTGAAAAGCTAGCTGAAGACAGATTGTTTTACTGACGTTTCCTATCTGCCCTTTTTTATAATAGCATGCATTAGAAGCTTAGTCAGGTGTTAAACTTTGCAAAATCCTACTGTAGGTCTTCAACACAGAATTCAGTGGACAGTAATATCACTGTAAAACTCCATTTACTTCTCTGATTAAGAGACTACAGCATGAGCAGCAGCTGTCCCTAAGAGAAGGAATAAGCTGTCCCTAAGGGAGAAATAAGAACACTGACTCTAACTTCCAGAAGGCTCTCAGTACTCAAGGCACTCTCTGGATAGCAATGTAAAAAAAAAATAAATCTCAGAAGTAAAAATCTGACTTTACATTTCCAGTTTTCCTATTGCTTATTAATAAATAGGTAAAAACCTTTTGTAACTCCTACAAGGCTTTACAAAGTGTATTGCAGACATCTTCCCATCAGGCATGGAAAAAGCAGAAAGTAAATCACCTCGTGAATGCCAGGCTTTCTAACAGCCATGTAAGGAATGTGCAGCTCTGGAGGCTGAAACTAGTGCTCAAAACCAATATGAACATCAAGCCTTCGTTTCTGAAATCTCTGGTTATAAATGTGTGTCAGAGTATTCTTTTTATATCCATACACACAAAACACACATGAAGAGATTGTTAAGTTTCCTCCCAGCCCTCAGGAGCTAACAGTATCAATGTTTGGGACAAACCAAAGGGCTTAGCATTTCAACTGTAATTCAAATACTTTTACAAAAGTTTTGGGCATCAGTTGGTGTAATTCTCACTGGTAAAGACTGTGATGCACTGGAATGAACATACAGGATTTATTTACTGTACTCACTATCCCACTGGCAAACTAGTTGGCTGAGCTTCTACCTAAGCTTTCTTATCAAAGATGGGAAGACTTAGCTGCTTTGCTATAAGTAGCAGCAGATATCCCCATGACTTGGGCAATAAATAAACCTCCCACTTCCTATTTTAACCCAAGTCCACGCATACCTCCTGGCTTCTTCTTTCTGTTGCTCTCTCCAGCTGCTCTCCATGTAGCGTAAGGCATAATCGCTTTCATCTTTATATCTGGAAATTAAATAGTAGCATTTAGACACTAAAAAAACACGATCATATACAGCTGAGGGAGGAATTCACATCCTGGTAGAAAGAAAACTTAGCTTAGATTGTAATATTTTGAAAGAATGACTACAAGTGTTTAAAATGTTTGCTTTTTTATATCTTGTTATCAGACAAAAGGAAAATAAATAAATAAGCCAAAGTATTAATTTTGCAATGGTTCCTAGGTACACAGATGCCAACTTCAATTCTCACAGAACTGCTAACACCATTGCATTTAGCCATTCATATTCAGGCTGCAACACCTGATGTTTTCTTATAGCAGTAGCGTTCCAGAATTCATTTTAACACATGCTGATAGAAAAGAGTTGCTATGGGTTGCATAAGTGACAAGTTACAGAATCTATATTGTTTTCCATTATGTCCCATTTGCATCAAACTTTCTCTTGCCTTCCAGAAGAGCATGGCAACAAAAAAAACCCAAACATTTTTAAGCCAGTAGTTTGCTTATTTCTAATAAATTAGCCCAATGACCTTATCTCTGTTGTTCCATTGCTCACTTTACAGTATATCAAAATTTACATTTTTTCCTACCTTTTCCGGTCATAGCCAAAGATTTCCCGAATATGTTTTGATATTTCTTCTTGGGGTTCCCCTTCATCTTCAATAAAATCATCCATTTCAGAGTCATATTCATCATCTTCATCATCATCATCTATTTGTCTTTTGTAACCAACAGGTGGTCTCCCAATACCTAAATGAAAGGGATGTGAAGAAAACATCAATGAATAACACACATTTATCAGAACTTTTTGTTGCTATGCTTTGGGCTTTGAGGCAGAAAACTGCCGCCTTGAGCTAATTAGAAATTCTTAAAGTCAGTAAAAGGAAACACTTCCTCCACTAACATCAACTGCACCCCAAGGAAAAGCACCAGACATAACTCCACATTCTTGTTCAAAGTTTTCTAGGTACTTATTTGCTAGAGTTCATGCTGCTTTCTCCTGTTCAGGAATCCATTTTTAGAACTATATAACTTTTATCACTTGCTGATAAGGTGAATCAGTGAAAACATGTAGGTATCAATCGCAGGTTTGCTGTGAATTAAGCCCCAGGCCCTTACCTCAAAGAATGTGAGCTGGGGTCAAAACAAATGAAGAGTTGCAAAGGGAAAAAAAACCCACAACATTCCATTGCTTAATGCATTCTTTAAAAGATAAACATGGTATTTTGTCTGAGTTTTCTCGGATAAAGATCATCACTGACCTCAACTCAGATATATCAGAAATATGGGACAAACAACTAATTAAAAAATTATTTGCTACAGAACTTTGTACCTTGTGAGCGAAACGGAGGCCTATGCCCTTGAAGAGGTCTCATTCCATTCATCTGTCCATTGCTGGGCCTCGTCACTAGGTTTTTGGAAGAAATAGTTTCTGATACGACAGTACACCTGGGCTTTACAGCTGTAAAGCCAGGTCGCCCAGGTCCTGCACTCGGGCTGACTCCTGGCCTTCCTGGCCCCGTTCCTGAGCTGCTGCCCGGCCGCCCAGGTCCTGCACTCGGGCTGACTCCCGGCCTCCCTGGTCCCGTTCCCATGCCGCTGCCCAGTCTCCCAGGTGCTGTATTTGTGCTGTTGCCCGGCCTTCCCGGGCCGGAGCCTGAGCTGCCACCTGGACGCCCAAGTCCAGTGCTTGAGCTGCCACCTGGCCTTCCAGGTCCCACGCCTGAGCCGCTGCCCGGTCGCCCAGGTCCCACGCTCGAGCTGCTGCTTGGCCTTCCAGGTCCTGCGGCCGAGCTGCTGCCCTGTCGCCCGGGCCCTGGGCTTGAGACGCTCCCTGGCCTTCCTGGTCCCATGCCAGAATTGCTGCTTGATCGCCCTGGTCCTGCACTTGATCCTCCACCTGGATGCCCAGGTCCTCCCTTTCCTAAACTGCTGCTGGATCGTTTTGCGCTGGAGTTCATTTCGTGCTGGAGGGCTGCAGCATTTCCTGGTTTTGTATGGACAGGCTTTTTCAGGCTGGATTCTTTAGCAGACGGTAACCTTTGAGCCCCATTGGCCATTGGCTTTGAGGATGGCACAGGAAAGCTTGAGCCAGACTTTCCCATACCGTTGACAGGTAATTTACTATGACTGCCAGCAGTAGGGGTTTTCAAGGAACTATTTTGTGAGGTTTTTACTTTTTCCATTTGACTCAATTTAGAAGAAGATAACGACCGCGAGTGCTTTTCCGTCAATGCTGGTGCTTTGGATTTCTTATCAGTACCACTCAGAGAAGAGAGGCTGCTTTTTGGAGAGGCATGTTTATCTGCTGCACTTTTGCTAAGTTTTGCATCTGCACATTCCTTCAGGGAAGTTGCTTTTTTTGAAGAACTGGATATCCCTGTATTCTTAACCTCCTTCTCGGTTTTCTTTTTCTGCATTTCCACTCTCTTATTTTTGCGTTCCAAATACTCCCTCTCTCTCAATTCTTCCGCAGTTCTGGGTCTCTCTTCTATCTTTTTCACTACTTTTATTTCTACTGGTTCATATTGTTTTTTTTCAGCAAGCCTTAAAAGATCTGCAAAGTTGAGGGGTGCTGGTGCACTTTTGGGTGGTGCCTTTGGTTTGACCGCAGCTTTGGACGGTTTCTCATCATATTCTTCTTGCTCATACTCCGATTCAGTTTGAGTAAATTCGAGTTGCTCTGCTTCATTTTCTGTTGCATACTCAGCCTCGGGGGCCTGAGAAACATTCTCACAAGTCCTCCTCCTCTTTTTAGACTTCTCTTCAACGGGAATACCGTTATAGCCATAAAAGTTATCCTTTGTTCGTGAAGCCATAGCTCTTGCCTTCCTGTCATGTTTCAGTTCAATTCGCTTAGCCAGGAGTCGTTCTTTCTTTCTTTTTTCTTCCAGTTCTGTAAAAGAAAAATCAGAAGAAAGTTAAACAAAAGCACTACTTTTTATTTCAGGGTCTTCTAAACCGATAAACCATCTGAGACAATAGGGTATCTGGCTAACAGCTATTCAGAATAGACCAGAACACCATCAGAAGTCTGCCAACAGGGCAATGTGATCCATCTGAGTCAGCTGTTTTTACAAAAGTGAACTATTAAGCCAAATACAGCTCCTACTAAACCTGCTAAGCTGACTCAACAGAAGCAACTCTCCAGAATGCTACACAAACTAACGAGAACTCCGTGGTAAGGAGAAAGAGTTTTGACACTGACTAAAAAAATTTTGAGACTGTACAAAATTTACTACCAGATGTTTAAGTAAAGGTGAGGAAAGGGAGGGATGGATGGAGGAGTTTTAGGGTGAGGGAATATGCCCTGGAAAGTAGACTGAGGTGGGGAAGCAGGCAGTTACCGATGAGCAAGCTGCAGGTCACTGCTTCTGTGTGACAGTGCCCTGTGCACCATCTCCACAGCCTGCCCTATATTCTTCCTAAATTGTTTTTACCTATTTCCTGCATGAGTAGGCTCTCCATCTTATGTGTCTTGTGTATGATCTGTTGATGTAATTCAGGCTGAACTCGATGGTGAAAAGACGAGAGGTCTGAGCACCGGATACTGGAGAGACAGGGAATAGGGGCCAAATACCATAAAGGCTCAGGAGAAAGGGGCATCTCTGAACATCAGTTCCTAGAAATCGGACGGGGCAACTCATGCTGTGCTTTAAATGGGTTCCTGTAAAGGTACCATCCCCAGCCTATGCTGTTCTATTTGTCAGTGGCCGTGACTGACCACAGGATGAGTAAAAGCATGAGTATTTCCTATTCACACTCGATCTTGCCTTTGGCTGCACTTGGCAGCAGGGATAAGGAGCTGGCTCATGGCTGGCCCAGGAGAGGAATACTCTGGACTACCCAGTCCATCTCACTGTGTTGTAACATAGCGGGGAAAAAATGTGTCTTAAAGCCTTTGCAATTTAAAACCCAAGCATTACTGAAAGAGAAGATTAAGACATCACCACCACAAACTGTTATCATGTTTAGACAAACACGGATTTTCAAAATGAACAGAAATTCAGGATGGTTTCTTGCAATCTTTCCAACTTAATTACTTCCTGATGTCCAAGAGTAAATGCTAGTGAGCTGATTAACATTTAAATCCTTAGGAAAGCATGTAAACATCCCTCGCAGTGACTTTTCCACTGGTGTTCCCTCAGCATCAGCAGTTATATGCACGAATTCCAAAAGCGGATGTAAAAGTCCATTTGCCAGAGCTCTTAATGGGATCAAAGTATCAAAGAGTTAGTGAATGCCTTCCACAGAATGTAGTTTAGGCTGCTTTAAAAATTACCTTTTTTCCTTTTTTCTTCTTCTTTCCTTCGGAGAAATGCTTGTACTGCTGCAGACTCAACACCCTTGACCTTTGGAACCTTTTTGGGAGGGCCAACAGCCAAACTGTATCTTTTCTGCAAAGAACAAATGAGTATGTCAGAGAAATTAATAAGTATCTCTTTTCTTGAAACTGAGGGATTTCATATCAGTCATATTTAAGCATAAATAAGCATAAAGTTCATTTTAAGCACAAATGGTACAGAATGATAATGCAATAGCTGTGTCAGCAATGGAATAAAATTATTTCAGGTCAGCCTTATGAAGTCTCATACAGCCTTATGAAAGTTATCTAAAAAATTATCCAGTAAAGACATCTACATCCAAATATTTCAGAGGCAATAAGCCGACAAGTTGGTAGCCTGATTTCCTATTGATTTCAACAGTTCTAACCTGATCCATTCAAACAGCAGCACATTACTCAAATTACTTGATGTTACTGATATACAAAGCGATACATTACCTTACATACACATACACTAAAAGCCAAGGTTCAGAGATGATCCTAAAATACAGCCAACACCGCTGGCAGGCAGGGTGGCTACACACCAGCTCTTCATAGGCACTCTACTAACTTGCGAATGACCGACACTAAATTACAGGATGCAACATCCATCTACATCACAGCTGTAAAACCTGACAGGTTTCCTCAGCATATTAAAGAGCTTTTACAATCAAGCCCAGCTATTGAAATCTATCTAAGCACTACCAGCACTTCGCTGCTACCTGAGAGCTGGTTTGGTTACCCTTATGGCCCTCAGGAGCCTCATTTTCTGCAATGCAGTCCTGATATACACAAGGAAATTGGAACAGACAGGCAAAGCAATCCTCAGGCTTGATTGAATTATCCAATTTCTACACAGTTTTTAAAAAGAAAGTCAAAACAGAGGATTTCCTAAAATGGTTTTAGGCAGAAGGAGCACTTCTAAATGAAAACTGCCAGGCAGCAGGGGACACGCGTAGATTCATCTCTCCCATTAGGAAGCCTTATAAAGAATTAAAATGATGGGGAAGCAGTTTTTGGGCTTTGTTTTGCTGCACTCCAACTGACAGTCCTATCCAGAAGTGGGTTTGTAAAGCAGCCTGACAGGCACACTGTTTTCTCATTTCCATTAAGGTGAGAAATGGTGCAAAATTCAAGATTTCTGTTCTTCCTAGCAGTAGCATTTTCTGCTATTGATGCTCAGCTGAAAGCAGAGCTAAGTGTTTCATCAATGAAGATGGAAGCAAATGAGGTTCTGCACTGTGTACCACAACAGCTGTTGATAGAAATGAGCACTCTGGTTAGAAAAGGATTAAATAAACTGTTTTATTCTTTTTAAAAGCATTGGAACACACACATACTCCGCAACTACTGAGAAAAGAGTTAACTTTCAATGCAAACCAACGTGCATCAGACTCCAGGTAGAAGTGGCAACTAAGTCAGGACATGTCACTGCCTTATCATCCAGGCAGCAGCAGCTGCACTGCTCGGGCTCAGCTATCTCTAGGGTGGTTAAATAACAGGGAAACAAACATTCTGCCTTTAGAGAGCAGGTCACGCTACTCCAGAGCACTGAGCTACCCAAGCTGTGAGCAGCACTCACCCTGGCAGGCAGCAGGTCCAGCAGCTCACGGATAGTGCTGAGGCAGCACGGGCACTGCTTGAGCCAAAGGAAAAAGGAAAGGCTGTGGAGGTGCCCTTCTTCAGCCACGCACCCTCAAGTGCTTCCTGTTAGCCAAGGGTATTTTCCAGAGGAACCAACCTGTGTGAACTGTGCCATAACCACCTCCCCAGCAATTGCCTGGCACGACACGAGTGGTTGGCTCTGCACAACCTGATCTTGAAACACAGCACCTGCGTAAGCAACAGTTTTGCTGTGGACTCACACACCCAAGCTGAAGACAATTCCCACTTGTCCTATCACGTACAGGCAACTTTCATAGGCTGTCACATAATTTATGCTTTGTCCTCTGTATCTTACCCCACTTATTGCCTTTCCTTATCACACACCAAGACACGCAGCCTTCTGATGTGGGAAGCTCCTGCTCCCCCCCCTTAGACATCCTTCAAGGTGCAACACGGCATCAGTTAACACAGCTAGCAGCTCGAGCACATCAAAGCCCACACACGTCCCTGTGGGTGCTGCCCTGCAGCCAGTTCTGCTCAGCAGGCGGCCATCACCTTCACCTGCAGGTCAGACAGGAGCTCTGCTCTATGGCAGTGCTCCACGCTTCACAGCCACTCCTCATACTCCTCTGGAAGGGCTTCTCTTGCCTACAGGCAAGTATTCAGGAGTTTGCAAGTTTCACAGGAAGGCTTTGCAATGTGTATCAGCCCTCTGAAGAAATCCTGGATTTTACTACAGTTTTACTTCCTGAAAAATGCAGCCACTTTAAGCAGTTGAGCAGCTTATTCTAGGAAATGAAACGCAAACCAAATTTCCAACAACTGCAGGCACTCATCCATTGTGCTGGAGGTTATTTTGTGATGCATAAGTTAAAGTGAGGCTTCAGCAAGTGCTGACGTGGACGATGATGACAAGCTGTTTCACTTCTAGTCACCTCCGTGGTCACATCTGCTCTGGGTTCCAAATTCTGTCCGCTCCAGATACGCCCCCTGCTAAGGGGAGCAGGGACCGAGGTGAGATTGTTCCTAAAAACTACCAGTGATGACAGAAACCAGATAAAACAGAAGGATGACGGGCTGACTTGGCTCTTACCTACACCCTTTTTTTTTTTTTTCCCCATTTTAAAGTAACTGCAATATTGTTTTATACAGTCAAGAATACCTTCCATACAAAGAGCTCAAAGTGCTTCCCGACATCCATTACATCCCAAAACACTCTTGCAGCATTAATAGAGTACCAACATCACTGAAAAGAGGCATACAGGCAGGATTTAAATCTTAAGGAGGTCAGCAGTAAATGCTGTTACTGTTACCACGTCTGATCAAAGCAAACCTGCATTGAAAATCAGTGAACCACTGAACAGAAACATGTGTAAGGAGATACATACAAAACTTATCCTTGCAACGTTACAAGGGAAAACTGAGCACAAAGATTATGCACAACATGTGGCTAGTTACTACTCTAGTTCACAAACACACTACTGTATTTAGAAACAAAACCTGATGCAAATAACTGGGCACTGGAAGGTGTATTTTAGCAGTTCCACTGGGAGATGAACAAGCAGATCTATTTTTACAGAGACATGATGCAATCCTGACCCTGTTTCATGATACAGAGCTATATTATTTCTGAGGCTGAGCTTTTCTGCAGCTTCTATACAAGTACAACCTGTGCACATTACTCTACTTTCCATTACAGTAAATGTGGGATATCTGAGTGCACCGTAAAGATGCTTTTAAACTTCTGCAAGGGAAATTCTGGGGGCGTGCTAATTAAAGCAGGAATCAGCATTTCTGGAAACCTGTTAATGTTACACACCAGTATATTTCGTAATTAGACTGTGCAGTGTTTTTAATCAGAAATATTTAAGACTAATTTTTTAGTCTTTTCATAGGGACAGATGTTGTGCACCAGTTTCAGTCGAGTGCAGTGACTTGGATGTCAACTGATTGGCCTTTTAGGCAGGCAACTTCAGATGGTGCCAAGCACAGCTCCATTTCTGCTCAGAGATTGTCTTTAGAGTTAAAGGCTGCACTGGCAGCATGCAAAGAAGGCAGGAAATTAAAACTGCTTCAGCTGGGGATTGAACTGCACTCACTGCTGAGTTATCAGGTAAACCATAACCCTGCCTTCACTAAAAACAGCACCAAAGCTCTCTTGCACTGCACAACAGGTAGGACTGCCTCCCAAAAGTACCATATCTGGATTGAGGATGTGGCAGATAGAAACCGGGATGTCGAGTAGATGAAATATACGTGTGACAGAAAACAGTGGTGCAGCACACAGGAAAACTAATGAGGTCAAAGGAAACTTTACCACCGCAACCTCAAGTCAACAGTGAGATACCCTGGCTTACAAGACACAAAACATCTTCAAAAACATACCAATGACACCATGTTAGGAGGAAGTGTCAATCTGCCAGGGGATAGGAAGGCCCTACAGAGGGATCTGGACAGGCTGGATTGCTGGGCTGAGGCAACAAAGCTGTGAAGGGTCTGGAGCAAAAGTCTCACAGGAAACAGCAGAGAGAACTGAGATTGTTTAGTGCGGAGAAGGTGCAGGGGAGACCTTATTGCTCTCTACAATGACCTGAAAGGCGGCTGTGGCAAGGTGGGGGTTGACCTCTCCTCCTATGTAACTAGCAATAGGACAGAAGGGAATGGCCTCAAGCTGTGCCAGGAGAGATTCAGGTTGGATATTATGAAAATTTCTCCTCCAAAATTCAGGTCAGTCAATTGAATCACCATTCTGGAGGTGTTCAAGAAACGTTTAGATGCTGTACTGAGGGAAATAGTTTAGTGGGAAATACTGGTGATAGGTGGACAGTTGGACTGGATGATCTGGCGGTCATTTTGAACCTTGGTGATACCATGATTCTACATTTACGTAATTGCTACTTTCCTACGTACGTTACAAATCACATTTCTACTCAGAGTCAGTCTGAGACCAACTAGATGACGAAACACTGAACGTTTCCTAAGGTACTTCAAGAACCCAATGGGACCTCACGAGTTACGCACCTCTCCCCTATAGCTGCTCACAGTGCTGCTGCACATCCACCACGCTTAGCCAGGGCCACGGACCACAGGGCAGCGCTCGGTGCCTCTGCCTGTCAGTGCCAGGCGGGGTGCTCAGCGCTGCACAACTCCTCCGCCTTCACCAAAAGGCCGGCGCGAGCTGCCCGTGGCAGAGCACGGCTGCGACGCTCGGTTACGCTGAACACGAGAAGCAGCGCCTACCGAAAACATTCTTTATGCAAATGAGCGCGCAGGCGGCGAGGGCCGCCCGTCAGCACACGCCCCATCGGGCTCACCCGGAGCGAGACGTGGCAGCCCCGCGGCTCCAGAGCGAACAAAAGCGCTCCTCCGACTTTTAAACGCCAGCATCGCCGGCGACGACGGCTCCGCACTCGGGATCGCGGCGTCCCAGGCCCGGCGGTACCGGACGGCCGGCAGGCAGCGGCTCCCCGCGTCCCGCTCAGGACCGGGGTGAGGCCCGGCGGAGCCACGGGAAGGAGAACGGCGCTTCCTCCGGCCCCGGCCCGGCCGAGCACCGGAACGCCGCCCCAGCGTTCCGAACGCCTCTTCGCCCCTCGCGACCCCGCGGCTCACCGGCACGGCGTTCAGCCCCTGCTGCTCCGAGGCCATCACGAGGATGTTGTGGAAATCCATGGCCGGTTCCGCCGCGGGGCTGAGGCGCCCGCCCCGCTCCCCCCAGCCCGGCCGAGGCCCCGCCGCGCCGCTCGGCTCCGCTCAGCTTCCGGCCGCCGCCGCCTCCCCCTTATATCGCCTCGCCTCGCGCCGGCGTCACAGCTGTGCGTCACTTCCGCTGGGCGGGACCCGCTGTGAGGGGCGGGGCCGAGGAGCCCCGAGGAGCCCCGAGGAGCCCCGAGGAGCCCCGAGGA